TGAAGCTTTCATTTGGAAAGGTGTCCGTTGCTTCTCTTTTGACTTGTTTAATTTCCTTACCTCCAAGTCTCCTTATACATGCTTGGCTTTGTTAACCGTTGGCAGATTGTGAACTATGTAAAAAACATTTAAAACAATTTTTTCCTTCTTGGTTCTGAGGAATTTGAAGTCCTTTTGGTTCACCCAAGGAAACTTGCTTGTACAACTTTTGGCTGTGTGTAGCCAAACTGCTGGCTCCTCCAGAACCATCATAGCTTCCTTAGAAGATGAATGAAAAAGCTGTGCACGAAAGTAACTTCAAATATTCATTGGTACAATAAGCATTATTTTGATGGAAATCTGAGGCTCGCGTGACTTGTGTTGTGGAGTGCCAGTGGAAACTTTTCAGTGAGTTCTTCTTAAGGCATGCAGATTTTCTTAGTAGGCCTATCTGCTGATAGCTCATATTTGTACTTTACGGTTGTGCTATTACAAATTTAACAAATGATTCTCAGAGTCCTATGCTGCTTAGAGTATTCTCATTTTCTGTGATTTGCTGGTTGCGTGCCTGTTACCAGTCTACCTTGAGGCAGTTCGTTGCATCACATCACAGGAGTTAATTGATTCATGTGGTGTGCCCCTCTTGCAACTAGTTTCCAACAGTATTTTTGCAGAAATGCTTACAAAGAATGTTCTGCTGCACAATCGAACAGGTGCCAAAATGCCCTTACTGGAGTATTAAAGTTTGGCACTTCACTTGTTGATTGGGTCCTTATGCGTTGAACCAAGAGCGCCTTGCCAATCGTGCAGTTCAGGTCTTATTTCATTGTCAATCTTACAATTTCCCCTGCAGTTGTTGAAGATGACACCGTGTCCACCAGGGCCTTCTCAATGATCAAGACAAAGGTAACCTGACTAAACAGTGCTGCTTCTTAAGTTGCCAAATTAGTGTTTTTGTGATGAGATTTATGTTTTATGAAAAGGTTATTTAGATATTAAAGGCAATATTAAAGGTTTCCCGTCGTCAAGCTTTTCCTCAAAACATGAAAGGGATAATTTCTAAAAGTGTTGGTCTCATTTCAGAAAGTATTGAAGAGGATGTGTTGTGTTTTCATCGTGTTATGGGCCGAAATGGGTGATTTCCAATCAAAGCTACATCCACATAGTCCACTGAATTATTCTTCACTTGGCCCAGCATCATTTCACTTCCAACTTCTTCTGTACAGACGATGCAAACACTCCTACGTATTTGCTAATGGACATGTACCCAGGGTTGTGCAGATTTCTGTCGGAGATCTTAGGATTAAATTTTTGACACTTTTAACACTGACAGCCAAACATGTCCTCCTTGTTTCTCTCACAGGGTGCTGTGGCAGCTGGCTTCACATTCTTTGGCACCTCCTTCCTGTTCATCAACTCACACTTCACAGGTACAGTCTTGTTCTGGCAAAGCTGTCACCACTAATGTGTTTACTTTACTTCCCCCTGCACTTATTCATGCAACTTTAACTGTGATTTTACCCTCATGTTATTTCTGGCACTTACTCAAGCCTGGCCCATGTAACTTACCCACCGAGCTGGTTACTCCAATAAGTATCCCATGATGCAGTGCAAGAACATGGGGGCTAAGTCTAGGGCTGCAGAGGAAAGTTGACAATGGTGTAAATGGTCTAGAAAACTCTTGGCAAACTGATTGGCTTGAGTCAAGTACACTCCAGCCAAGGTCAGTGTGGTTGGATGTCCATTACTCCAGCCAAGGTCAAGTGAGAAAAAGTACCTTCATAATTCTAGAGGATTCTGTTTTCGGCATTGTTCTTTCAGCCGGCGATGAGCAAATAAAGGAACGCATCTCTGACTATGAGAAGACCATCAAAGACGTGCAGCTGCCTTCCAAAGTGCCGCCAACTAGGAAGTACAATAACCTAAACAGTAAGTCCTTTACCTATGCAAGCTCTCTTTTCGTGTGCCGTGCGTTTGGCTTCCTAAATGTTGTCACTATCATCATTTCCCATACTTACTAGCACACCAGTCCACATTGTAGAGCCACACAGATCTAACCATTTACAATCATGGTCACAGCACTGTTCGACAGTTGAGTGCCTCACACGTTCCCAGGCGTTCCTGCATGTCCATTACAAGTATACCAGGCACGAAATGGGACAGAGTGGTACCCCCAACAAGTCCAATCCCTATACACACTCCAGCCTATTGTTACTTAACACATCCCCCCTTGATGTCTGGAAAGAATTCCTGAGATACCAGTATAACAACACAAAGGCAGAAGGGTTCTCTCTGTCCCATAGTTTGCTTCAAATGATTACAAGTCATTCCATCTTAAGCCAAGTCACAGGCTAGTTGAATGACTGTGAACAGAAGCATTCCTTTGTTATTTTTCACCTTGTATCTCATGATTGGACTTGTGAAAGGACATGTGATGGAGTACCACCGGTTCTTTTCAGAGCCCCACATACGTGTACTCAACAATAAAAGAGATATACCCATCATGTCCATGGTGCTACTGCAAACCTATCTAGTTTACTTGCTACCTCCAACATGAAAAGCTTCAAATCTCATCTGACATGTGATGAACTCGACTACAACTCTACATGGTCGTCATGCTTGGCACAGTTTTTAAGTACCTTCATTTCAAGACTGTGCAAGGTTGACTCTTAAAATCATGTTCATCGCCATATAGTTTGTATACATTTCAAGATGGTGTAAATTTGTGAAACGAACATAATATCCGAGAGGGACTTGGAATGCTTGGAATTTTTGCTCTTGGAAAGTTTCAACCGTAATTTCCTATTTTTATGGCAGCCGATGTGACCAGTCGCTTTGACTGCATCTTCTGGTGCGGAGACTTCAACTTCCGTCTGGTGGAGAACCGGGCCAAGGTGGAGAACTGGGCAGGGAAACTGCGTGACGGCAAGGAGGCGGACTACCACATCCTGCTACAGCACGACCAACTGAAGAAGAACATGAACAAAAGTAAGAGAAGAACCTGCCCACTGGCCAGAGCTATCTGCTCATCAGGGTGGCCATTTCAAACACTCTTTTGTAGCGTTCTAATACTCAAATAAATGTACAAAGGTAACACCTCAAGATCTTGGGCACCCTGTGATTTTGGTAACTCATTTTCAAATGTGAAACTGAGTTTGGTGTGACGTACCAGATACTCTGCAGTGATCTCAAATCTTGAACAATCTCTTGTAGATTGTGGTCAAGATGTCACTGTGTTTCTGGATCACTTCTCTATATAGTGCCATGTTGGATCACTGCTCTATACAGTGCCATGTTGGATCACTGCTCTATACAGTGCCAGACATAGCTACTCATCACTGACTATGCTTGTAATCTTTGCACGCTGGTTTTGTGCAAGCAAGGAGACATGTCAAATCTGCGTCAAACAAAACAGGTTTCAGTGTATCAAACGTGTAATTCTCACGCTTCCCTTGGACCGAACCCGGACTTTGAAGAGGCCTTCAATTTGTTTTCTCACCTCAAATTGTTCCTTTTTACTACAGAGACCATCTTCAGAGGTTTCCATGAGGGGCAGATTGAGTTCCTCCCCACCTACAAATACGACATAGGAGGAGACGTGTACGACACCTCCCACAAAGCAAGAGTTCCCTCATACACAGTAAGCCCACAAGACACTTCTTCTTAATCTCCTCTCTTGACCCTTTAGTGACATTTTCCCATTAGATACAGAGGCATGTATTGCTCCAGATAACTGGTTATTCCCTACATCACAGCTGTACCCTGTTTCTTTGACACTTTGTTTTAAATTTAGGATCGCATTCTCTACAAGAGCCGTCGATCAGCCCAAGTTTACAATGTGCTCTACAATGCCTGTAACAGCATTAAAGTCTCTGACCACCGACCTGTCTATGCAATGTACGAAGTCAAGATAAGACCCGGCAAAGATGAGTGAGTACCTTGCAAAGGCCTTTTGTATTCTACACATCCTGAAATCTTGAGGGCACTTCTGAAAGACTCAAGATGGACTTCAGGGAAGTCAACAAGTTGCTAATGAAATTGGAGTTTTAAGGAGATTTTTCCGTTCCTGACATTGCAGAAAAACAGCTTTTGGGAGGAAGTCAGTTGACAAATTTGAGGTTAATACATTAACAATCATGGCAGTAGGTGAATGTGTATTTGTATGTTTACATTTTCGCGATTCATTTTTCTGTCAAAATTTTCTTTTCAAGCTCTACATTATCTTTGTTATTTGTTGCCAATTGCGTCTTTCTATTCTTGTGTACAGCTCCTTGACTTCTGGAGGCATCTTTTCAAGAGACGTATTTAATGAGGGTAAGTTTCAAGCATAAAATAGAACTTCTACTGCATGTATAGTTACAGGATACTGTTAACCACTTGCTGCCGGGGGCAGTTATCAATGTTGATGATGCTGGTCCGGGATAATTATCATTTTTGTCTGTTTTCAAAATTCTTAAAAATTCCTATCTTCATTTGCTGGACACTTACAAACACGTGGAGGACTGTCTGGTGTCCACTCTAGCCCGACAGACAAAATCTATTGAAGCCTGAGTATTTCAGCTAGGCCTGCAGCCGTGTAAAAAGAGCCCAGATTGTGCAGTGGTATATAACTTTTAAGAGTTTTTCTCGTTTAAAATAATAATAAACATATTATCAGACCTCAGGAACTATTTTGTTTCAAGGTTAATTTGAGTTTGAGCTTGAATGTGACAAACAGCTGGACTGAAGTAGTCTTCAACAACATCTGTCAAAAATCCCTTCAAGAATTGCATTGTAAGGATTGCCAAATTCCTAAAGTCATCTTGTATTCTTTATCAAGGAGGATAGTTGATTTACACTCCAAAGAGAAGGTGGTTTGTGATCCCTTGTCTTGTGGCTTGATCTTTGATCAAATTTGGGGACTTGACAGCACAGGTACGTTTCTGTAGAGTCTCGCTAATTTTCAGTCAAATTTCTTTCTCACTGCAGCTAACAAGAGACGAACAGCCAAGGCAGCCATGGCAGGCACGATGTCACAGAAATCAAGCACCGTCTGCTCGGTCATGTAAAGAGACACCTCAGAACGCTGGCCTTATCAACCCCTGCACACAGGTGACCACACATTGATAAGAGAGAGGGAGATAGGGCGGGTTGGAATCGGGCAAAGACCTAGCCATAAGATTCAGACGTAGCCATATTAACTTATACTTCTGTAGGTGTCCTGTGAGTCCAGTCAACTAGATATGCCAAAACCCTCTACCCAAGGATTCGGAGGATGCCGTGCCTCCGTAGCAAAGACTCCAAATGGAGTGAATTGGAAGGTGCTATCTGCATATCAAAGGATTAATTAATGTGGCGTTCCTTGGAGTATATTGCTGACCTCCACTGTAGTTGTATTTCTAAGCATTACCTTAGGCAGTCAACGCTAACGATGAATGATGAAGTGATCCGGAAGATGCATCAGATCAAGGATTGACCCTAACTCCCTTGGGCATTCTGCTAGGAGAAACCTTTCTGATTCCCCCCAAATCCTCCACTGCACTAAAGACCAACAGCACGTTATTTGTATTCAGGGTTTTTAAGGAGCATCAGTGCCCATGGAAAGTAGTAACTGGCATCTACGTTTTCCAATCCTTCAAGATCCTCCAAAACCTGGTGGATTTTTGTTGGAGGGCTGGGTTTTGTAAGCACTGCCTTCTTTTGAACCAGCAAAGTGAAAGTGGCCCCCGCTGCCCTTCTTTATTTATTCTCTTGTTTATCTTACTTTTGGGATAATAAATTTACGGAATAATTGGCCTGTTTGGGGATAAGATAGATTTGGTACTTAATTAAATTAAGAGTTTATTTTCTGAACACATTTTTTGCCCTCCTGAGTTTTTCCTTACTAAGTCCACACGTCTCTCAACCTTTACCGCTGCAGTCCTCCATGGGAAAGACGGACCCATGTTGTGACAGTCACGCACAAGCTCCATTGCCATTTGGTTACTGGAAGGGTGGTCACTGATTGTCACGCAGAATGCCACCTCCCTACATGTATGGCACCTGTCTCACAACTCAGTGATTCACAGCTTGGTTTGTAGAATGTAACTGGGGTATCTCAGATTTCTAAATAAAATGTAACACGGCGATAAAAAAATCACAGAAAAGTTTCGTAATCGGCATATAAACAAAAAAATAAGTTTGCTAAGCATAACAATATGCTGATTGTATGGAAAGCATTTTATTTTGTAGCTGCTGGTCAGTGTTTTATAGTGCCTTTTCCAGAGGAGAAGGCAATGTACAAATTCTGTAATTCTGGAGCAAGTTTGATGTGAGGCTAGATGGAACTGAGCAGTGTGTAGACTTCCAGCCATTTTTTGGTTTTGTTTTGGGGTTTTGAGTTAATTTTGCATTCTTTCCATGGTATCAGTACATATCCCTTTCAAACTCAGTCATCTGTTAATGTGCATCGGTTCATCTAGTTTTATACAAATACAATTTGATCTTGTTGATTATTTTCATCAAAGGTTTAGTGAAGTGGTGGGTAATATTTTAAGAAAGCGAAAGCACGCCATGCATTTTTCTCTTATTGAAGTCTTTGATTTTGTCATTTTCAAGCTTAAACAAATTGGTTGAGGGAATCACCATCATCACCTCCCCACTGCTTCAGTTCGAAAAAAAATATGATTATCCAATTTGGTTAAGCTCCCGGCCACCAGCACCTCAAGTAACTGCTCCCAAAGAGTTTGTTGCATTTCACCCAACTTGTCAACCTTTCTGGTAATTTCCCACCAGCTGTTGGCGAGAATATCGGTCAACGTTTTCTTTACCAACTTTCTGTCAGTACATTCACCAAAGACTTATAGTTTATTACCGATGTGTGTGATAGTTCTTTGACTTTTTCCGAACGAGCATTTGATATATTTCCTGAAATGATCAAATCTGTTATGTAAAAAAAGGGGGTTTTGTTTTTGTGTACTTGAATAATTCTGATGCTTGTATTCTTCCCATACACGTGTTCGTCGTTAGGTTTTGCAGCAATAACTTTTTTGTAAAACAGAAAATTTTGTAATATCTGGACGTGTCAAGCATTCCTCATGGTTTGGTACTTCTGTATGTATAAGTCTAGTATTTTTGTATTCATTGTTGTGTTTAGTTTTAATAATTTGTCTATTGCTGCATTGTTTACCATTTCAGATTTTCCTGTTCCATTTTGACATGTATTGAATCTCTCCATTAACCCTCCTATGCTGAAATCACTCTTTGGGTCACTTGGTAAACACCTCAAAGAAGCACAGCTGTGTCGTGTTGTGCACTGCACCAATGTGCAAGAGAGTGACCTTGGGCACTTGCGCATATTTGTGCTGTAAAACTAAAGGAGGGTTAAGGGAATCGCTCTGTTTGAATCTTTCCATTTACATCAGGTGTGTGTGCAATTTAGTTTGGGCTTGGAATGAATATTTATCCTTTTTTTTATTCTTTTACAGTTCAGTCATTCACCTTTGTTGTTTCCAAGTATATGCAACAGTAGAAGTTACTGTTAAAAAGAAGGTTTTTTTAGCCCAAACCAGATTTTAAACAAGAATCAATAGATGAATATGCATATTAATGAAACAGACAAATGCAAAATGTCTTTCTAAAAAAAAAGAGTAAATTTAGGCCATTCTTGCAAAAATGGTTTGCATGAAATGATCATGCTGCCCACATGCTGCCGATAGGGCAGCATTTTTTTCTGTACATAGTGTGAACAATCTCCAAAGCCTGAAAGGCATTTCCTTTAACAGACATTCAGGTGTTTAGACCAAAGGCAGTGATACCGGTGTAATCTACCAAGAACTAATTAAGCAAACTCGTGAAAGGGTTAAACTTTGAATGGAACATGTGGATTGGTAATGTACACACCTTTTTTTCATGTGTCCGTTTTATGAACTTATTTTGGGGAGGCGCCATCCATTCTTCGCCACTTGATGATCAAATGTAATTTATTTCCTCCCTCTTGGTTGATTGGTTGAAACACCTTGAAGCCAGCTGGACTTTATTCAGGTGGTGCCTTTGTAAACAAAGCCACTTAGATTATACTGTGTGTGCAGTGGAACATACGAAGGAAGATATGAGACGGAGAGACACACCCCATGTTAGGGGGTTACATGTTGGAGGGTACCCCTCGGTCTCGTTTCTTGCTGGATGCACAGTGGAAACACTTAGTAACTATTTTTAATATTCCTGTGATGTAAATATATGTATACCTGTAATATAAATGAAGTTTTAAAAAGAAAAGGTATATGCACAACCATGTTAATATATCGAACTCTATTTTTTTCCAGTTACAAGGGGCTTTTTTACCAGTTATAGGCTTTGGCTTGGACCATTATTGTTGCCAGGTACACAGACGAGTTTCAGATCTTTCCATCACACATTTATTCCCCTAATATAAAAATGATATAAATTACAAAATGCCAATACACTAATTTAATCCACACTCAAATTCATTGATTCATCACGGTCACTACAGTGCAGTTGTGGACTTGCTACGCAAGAAGTTATGTTTGCTTATATATTTTACCAGGCCTTTGTGGTGTGTTTGAGCAATGCCCGTCACAGTGCTACTGAAATCTGTTTCATTAATTAAGCTTGTCACTAATTGACTGGGGCCGATATCAGTCAAATACACTGTGAATGACTTCTTATCGTCCAACCATCCTCAATATTAGAATAATTACGAGAGTTCATCCAATACCTGAATAAGCCTGTATGAACACCTCTGAAAGTGTTCATGAACATGCTGAAAATGCAAGGAATATTTCGAAAGAAAACTCAATGTGTCCATTCGTCCATTATTTTCCAAACTGAGTCTCAGATTCAACTAACTTTATTTGAAATACTTGTGCTTGACCACAACTGAGTACATGGTTGATCACGTACCTGTGTAAATGCAAAATAATACGATTACTTTAAAGCAGTTGTTAAAAGTGTGGAGAAAGACCACATCTGCTTTAAAGGATAGCTGCAATTAATTTCTGTACGACAAACCTTCAAAATGCACCTTCACGGCTCAGTTAACATTATTTTCAACTTATGTTTCACTTGTTTAAAGGATATTTTCCTGCTTTTTTTTGTGCTAATGAATATTTCCATATTCATGAGCAAAACTGTGATGTCATCTCAGGAAGAAGCTTCAATGTTACTTTGGTTTGTGCTCAAAACAGTCTGGCATGTTTTTTATTTTGCTGGACTAATTTTTTTTCTTTGCTGATTCATTGTTTATGTGCATAGCAATAAGCAAGCATCAAACCCTTTCTCAGAACTGTTTTCGGTAACTAGATTCTGGGTTAACAGTTTGAACAGAAAAGCCTTTGCACTGAACATATCTTCCCCAGATGACTTCATAGCAACAGTGCCCTCAGTTGTCCAGGAAAGCCTGTATACGTTTGTGTTTAAAAAGTGCTCTTTTCAATAGAGTTAACCAAATAGGAATGTGAATGAGTTTTCATGCATTGAAAAAGAATACAAAAAGTACAAATACAACATCGAAGAAAAATTCATCGCAGCTACACTTTAA